CATGGGGTTTTCTTGGCAAGGATACTGGAGTGGGTTGCCATTTCCTTCTCCAGTGGATAAAATATACAAAAATCAAAATGTTCAAAGAATTACTTTTGCAGAAATTAGCACATAATTTTTTATAAACGTATAGAACCATGATTAAAATGCAGTTGAAGAAAATAAGGTTCTAAAATAGATGTAACCAATATAGTTTACAAATACAGAAGTAATCATGTATCTGAAAGAGAGTGTATGAAAAATGAGAGCTCAGGAGGTAATTGTACAAGTCAGTCTGAGATTGTCTGGGTCTCTGGGAGAGCCTTTGGCACTTGAGATCAGCCTGTAGAAGTAATCCAAAAGAAGGCTTTTCTGTGATGAATTTAGCAACTTTATGAAGTTCATCTTCAATTCACTTGTCTAAAGCTAAATCAACCATGCAGTTGTTACCCCAGATATGATTGCCAACCACCTAAACTATTTAAGAAACGGACAGATTTATCCATAATGTCACTGTCCAGGAATGTGGCAGAGGGAGGAACGGGATGGACACCAGTAACCCACTATTCAACAACTTTCTTTTTGGAATCAAAATGAAGTTTCTTACATGGTTAACCAAAGTGTCTTTTCTTCAAGAAAAAACTTCATACATCTCTCTCAAATACTGAAGGATTTTCATATAGAAGATAGTAAATTGGTTTTCTGCTACTATATTTCAGGGATCAGTACAATATTGATTTTGAAAGTGATTTTGATTGAACAGTGGAGGAAATTTCTTAACAGTAAGATATAATCACAATAATTTATTTTACTCGTTATTTCTCTCAAATTTGAAGATTTGTTCTGGACAGAGCAGTTTTGACTGTTTTTGTAGCGGTAGCTACTTTTGGTCTGTGGTCCTAGAAAATAGGTTTTGTTATGTTCCTATAATGCACAAAATAAACAGCAGTTACATAATTCTGAAAGTTAATTTAAGGGAGGATGTTGTCACATGATTTACCTGGATTGTTAAATGAATAGTTTATGGTTGCATTTGTATGTAATGCTACATGTGTAAATGGTATGACACACTCTCATCTCTTCTAATTGGTCCGAAGGAAGAATAAATCATTGTTTTACGTGTGGTACTTTTGGCTTGTTATGTTAGAAACAGCATTTTATATAACTATTTGATTATTGTCTTTCTGCGTTTTCCCTATGTTCCTTCAGGGTCTTTTTAGACAACAGAGAATCCTATTTTGGGGGGAAACAGAATAGTAGCTCTTTTTAAAGTATTATTTTGTTGTATGCCTAATGTATTGGATGGCCAATGACCATCCACTGATATTTCTTTGAAGCGTCTCACTTGATCTATGTATCCCACTTCATGTATGGTATGTTTCTGTGTTTAATAGCATTTCCTTACAATGAGACACCTGCTGGGAAACCACAAAGAAAGTTCTTCCCCTATTAATGCCCCACATATTTACAAAAACGTTTCATAAGAGTACTCTGTTTCATTAACTAAATAGCTTTGAAGTAGAGTTCATTTTTCATTTTTTGCTCGAAATCTTGCTTTATTTATATATTACTCCAATAACATTACAAGTTCACAACATTTGGAATATTTCATTCAACATTTTTACACCTTATTACTATATAGTATATAACCATTCCATGTTTGACAAAATTGTGATTCAGTCCTCTGTACCCGAAAAATTAGATTTTATCTGTGATTTTTTTCAATCATAGCTATAGATTATATCTTTGAACACCATTTTTCAATGGTTTTTCAATTGTTAAATTTTCTACAAGTTTCTATTGCTGACCTATAGGTTTGGCAGCTAAGAGTAAGAATGTAAGTTCTTTATTAATCAGCTTGGCATTCTCTCAGATATATGTAATAAACCCAGTTCATGGATACAATCTTACTTTCCAGCAAATTATCTGCTAGAATGATGCAACTTTTTCATAGGTCCACCACATAGGAATAAATATAACCTTTTGTCTACATCCTGTCCAACATTTTATTGAGTAATTATTAAATATATGCATTATTCATATTGGGGTGAAACACACCTATGTATTACCTTCGACTGCAATTGGAGTTTGGAGTTGAAGATAATACATAGATTGGAGGCTGATAGCTATCCCACTGATTTCCGTAGATTCTGCTAGTCACTATCTTCCATTTGTTTACCCAAATCTATATCCCACACCTGTAGTTAAGTAGAGAGATTGGTTATCTCTATGTATAGTAGGATTTTGTATGTTCTGGAAATTGTTCCTTTTGGTTATCAGTGATAATTATTGATTTCTCAAAATTGGTCAAAGGATGATCAGACCATTTCTTTTTATCATTCAGAAAAGATTTAAGTTGAAACCACATTAACCAAGATATCTGATGGCCTACCTTAGATTCTATCTCTTCCTTACTGCATAACACATTGTTCTTATAAAAATTTCTTATTCTATATAAACCACATTGTCTCCATAACTAGAACTGAATTGTCCTAGATATGTCATAAAAATCAGGATTCATCTTAAAGGAGGTTAATAGATAGATGTCCTTTCTCAATTCTAGACTTTTCTTCCTGCAAACTTTAGTAAATGTATTCTTTATATTGCTTACTTTTATAAGAACCTTTGGAAAAAGAACATTTGATTTATGTATTTATCTAACTCATATATGTCTTCTATCTGAATCTATGGTTTTGTCTTCCAGTATGAATGGAATCATGCATTTCAAATGAGCTGCTTGACTATATAGTTTTAAAGAAGATATCCCCCATTCTTTCTGCCTCTGTGACCTATAAAGAATTTTTCTATTGACCCTCAACCTTTTAGCATTAAAAGAAAAAGTTTCTATTTTTCTATGCCATTATTGATATTTTTTTCCTGAAATTTCAACTGTCAAGACTTGGAGTAAGAAATATAATTTTGAAGTGCCATCATTTTAACAGCTGCTATTCGACTCAGTATATTCAAGTTTTTCTTTTGCTATCTGTTCATTTCTTTATTTTTTAAAATAGGAATAGTTCCTAAATGGAAACTTTTATAATAATACTACATTTAAAATACTTTAGTCATTAAGAGCAACAGTCTTATGTCACATTAAATAATAATTTGTTATTGCATGAAATGTTAGTGATATTGTAGTTTTGCTTTTATTGTGCACTTAGTTTATCTAATAAGAAGAGTGTTTGCCTTTCTTGTCTATAATTATCTTGTTGCACTGAAATTGCTACATGTCTTTGCTTTTAAAAAGCCCAACTATTTGACATCTGTTTAATATTTTTGGTGAGAAGAATTCTGCTCTTCTACTATTCCTCCGAAAGTGTATTCTTTAGAAAGATGTGACACAATAGTTATATGTACAATAGTATTAATCACAATATGTTTATTATATGTGTTATATATTACATTATAGGTAGATTTTTTAAATTTTAATTTTAAATTATTTTTTAAAAATATTTTTACAGTGGTCTTATGCTCTAGAGAAACCAAACACTGGCAGCATATTTAATATTGCTTGGTCTACTGATGGTACGCAATTAGCTGGGGCTTGTGGAAATGGACATGTGATTTTTGCCCATGTTGTGGAACAACGCTGGGTGTGGAAAAACTTTGGAATAACTTTAACTAAAAGAAGAACCATGGAGGTATGTGTTGGCGATCTAAAGCTTGGTGAACAGTGGATTATTTTTTAAATAATATCTTGTACAACAGAGAGTACAACTCTTCTCCCAAAAATAATTGATACATTTGGATATAATTTTTATGGATACCAGGGATCAAACTTGAATTAGAGACTTAATTTTTTTTAGAACTTACGTGTTTAAATGTATTAAGTGAATAATATATTGTTTGGTGAAGTTAATATCTTACCATTTGGCTAGGTTGAACACCCTTCAGTGTGTTCCCAGTGGAATGAGCATGTTGGCTCATGCACTTATAAACTTAGTCAAATGTTCAAACCTAGGGTGATCCGATTTATATTAGACAGTCTAGTCTCTACTACTCTAGAGGACATAAATTGTGTATTCCGGCCTGGATTGATGCTTTCATTGACTAGAAAGTCAGAATCAAAAGAATATTTTGTACTGGAAATGGTTTTATAACACCTAAAAACAAAGTCAGAACTTTGGAAGCAATAACATATAGTCCATATATGCAAAATGTGCTTTGTTACCTTTAAAAAAAAAGCTTCTTTGTATACAGTACAGCTGTGGTTTATTTCAGCAGCTGCAGCATTGTTGGCTGTTACTGAAGTGTTGGGTTTTCTTTTGTCTTGTTTTTTGCCAAGGGCAGGTGTGATAGATATCTGTTTTCTTTTATCTAAAAATCAGTAAATTAGCATCCCTTCTCCCCAAAAGCATAACTACACTGATTGATATGTGTTTCTATAGAATGTTGGTGGTTATTATAATTGCTTTCAACAAGACATAATACTGACCAGTTGTTTTATTACTGGATACTTGCAGACTCAATAAGCTTGACTGGGGAACAGTTTCATATTGTATATTGCTAAGATCAGCCTGTATATAGCTACAGCAAAAATTAAAGAGGACTTTTATTAAAACCAATTAAATATTTTGAGGCAACAGCTTCTTTTTTAAGTTTCATTCATTAACCCCAAATATGTAGTTATATTTAAATATGGGTTCTTATCAAAATTGTCCTACGTTAAAAACTGAGCTAGATCATCTAGAAGTATAAAGTAGTATTTTATGTGTCAAATGTACTATCTTCCTTGACAAGAGAGTGACCCATACTATTGCACAAGAGGATTGGGAGATAATACATGATTTCTGAATTTCACATTTAGAATTGGAATTTAGGCCAAGTCCTGGTTGCCCATCATTAGGCTCCCAAATCTTTAATTAAGCCCTTAAATATCATTTGGTATTTTTTTAATGCTGAATATATAATTGGAATATTCATGGGATGGGATGTTATGAGTCATTGTCTGGGAATACAGAAAACAAATTTGTTAGGTAAAAATCATATTTTTATACTCAGTTCCAGACATAAAATTGTAATGAATTACTCTGTTTGGTAAACCCTGTATCTAGAGTTGTGGTTTATTTATAAAACTTTCTGAACAACCTATACAATGAAGTCTTCACTTAGTACTGTATATGCATGCTAGGCATATAGGATACATTATCAGATTCCTTTAGCTTTTAGTTGGGAAATAGTGTTTCGCTCTCTAGTTTATATTATCTTTATAGTTAATTTCCATTATGTATTTATGTAAAGTAGAATGCCAGTGCTAAGTAAAAAGTGGCCCATTTTTGTATTTACTAAATAACTTACCAGTATTTCACCCATTAATTCTTATTTGAATTTGTTTTCTCTGAGGAGTACTGACAGCTTTTATTTTCCAAATGTTAATTTTCTGTTAAGGTTTACCCAAGCTATTTAGAATGCTAATTGCACAAGCCTCATACGCATGTCTACTCAGAAGTAAATCCTGTTAAATATCCTTCATAAAATGGAAAGATGTGGGATAGATGGTCCCACTACCAGATGGATTCACAGCAGGTTTAAGAACAGTGCTCAGCACATGGTCCTTAATGGTTTCAAGTCAAATAGGCATATCAGATTTCTATCCTAGGCGCACTTTTCAACTTTTTCATAAAGACTTAAGTGGTAGGTTAGATGGGGTGCTCATCAAACTTGCAGACAACACACAATGGTAGGGGAGTACTGCTGACATCTCAGAAGGATCTTGATAAGCTTGAATAGTGGGCTCCATCCAACAAAATGCAATGACAAGAACTCAGTCAGTTCTGCATTGAGGTAAGAAAAATAAAATGTATCAGCACAAGATAATCAGTATCTGGCTTGGCAGTAGTACTTGTGAGAAGGATCTAGGTGTCATGGTAGGCCGCAGTTAAGCCTAAGTCAGCTGTGTGCTACAACTGCCAAAAATTGCTAATGAGATTATGGGAGGTTTTGTGCTGCACTAGTCAGATCACACTTGAAATACCATACAGTATTTGGTTTTTCTCATGATAATTCAAGGAGGACACTGAAGAACTGGAAAGAGTACAGAGAAGAGCGACAAAAATGGTGAGGTGTTTGGAGGCTAACTACTATGAAGAACAGTTAAAGGAAGTGGGTATGTTTAGCCTAAAGGAGAAAAGATTCAGAAGAGATATGATAGCAGTCTTTCAATACTTGAAGGTACCAGTAGAAGAGAATATATGTAGCTCAGGGTTGAACTGTGGAGTCCTTGGGGTTCTCTGAGCTGGGTTGTTTTCTTGCAAACGTTTCGTTACCTGAAGTGCACTGAACATGTTACCTAGCTGGGTAATGAAAT